AAACATAATTAGTATAACTCGGTGAAGAAATTAATGTAAAATTAAAAATTATTATTATAAATTATTATTGTTTACACGTGCTCCTATTTATACATAACTTTTATTTCCTCCTCCACTTTCTGGTTTTTATATATATAACTTCCAAATACTTGAACAAATGCAAGCTTCATGATAACTAGAACAAATTTCTTCCACCCTGTTCCGCCTCTATTGTTTTGAGCTTCATGTCTTTGTGAACCATTAATGTTTTTATACCCATAATCATGTTGGCACAGATTGCGTTTATAAGTTTGATTCTAATTTGAAAATAAAAAACAAAAACTATAAGACTAAAGACTAGAATATATTAAACAGTTTCAGTACTTGGGTTTGGTTTGTTTTATAATTTTATATATATATGTATATATATATGTTTATTTATTATTCTAAAAAAAAATTTAAATAAAGATCAGTTATTTGTCTATTTCTATAGTATTTTTGTCCCACCGTAAACAGTGGGAAGATTTGGTGGACTTTTTTTTATTATAAAACTTACCCTGGGAAGATTTGGTAGACAATGTAAAGTGTATATAGCGAAAATAAAAAAAAATTTTTTTTCAAAGAAAAATAGGTTTTTATGAAATACAAAGTATTGTTAAGAATATCATCAGTAAAAAAAAAATTGTTTTACTAAAAAAAAGATTTGTTTACTATGTAGTGATTTAATCTACTTTTTGCATCGTACTATACTAAAATAAATTGATCAGCACTAATGACAGAATTTGTATGGAATTTTTACCTGGAATTCACATTTTTCTGTACATTTTCCATATCAAATTTTTTATAGGGCAGAACCATTAGATAAATTGTTTTTATCTTTATTGAGACTACTAGAGGAGAATTTTCATTGTATTTCTTCTTAATTTTCTTTTTTAGTAACATTTAAGAGATTTCTAATTAAGATACATACAGTGCTTGAAATTTGACTGTACCTTGATATAAAACTAATCTAATTTTAGAAATTATCAGTGGTTAAGTTCCATATTTGGTTAACACACTGATTCCACCAATTGAATTTTGGACACTGGATACATATATACAGTGTGTCATGAAAAAAAAATGGCAAAAAAATTGAAGTTGTTCGAACACATATATCTTACCTAATTTGGTTTAATTTTGTTTTGTGTTTTTTTTTACGTTTGATACAAACAATAACTTTATTTTTTAACTTCTTTAAAAAATTTTTTAGCCGTTTTTTAGTTCATTTTTAGCTTTTTTTTTTTTGAATTTGATCATGAAATGACTAAATCAAGTTTAATACACAACGTGAGACCATTTTTCATTGTTGGAACATCGGAATGCACTCAGTTAAGAAAATTCAAACAACCACAAAGATCCCCATGTGAATATTTATAATAATCTCAAAAAATTAGAAAAAATATGGAAAATTGGATTGGAAAAAAGGGAGTGGCTGAAAAAAAAAAATAATGCCTATTATTGCAAAGACAATTGGTCAGTCTATACATCAAGATTCTGCTATTTCACTGAGAACGCTTGAAACAAAGATCAAATAAATGTTATCAAGTTTTGTGCATGGCTATTTTGAGGCATCTTTTGGGTCTTGATTACAAAAAGAAGCTACCAAAAGCCACCCTGATGTTAACTGAAGACCACAAACAAAAACGAGTAGAATGGGCACAGAATCATCTGAATGACAACTGGAACAAACCCTGTTTTTACTGATGAGACAGCTTTTCAGCTCTTTCATAATACAGTAAAATGCTGGTACAAGAGAGAACAGCCCACTTGCCGAATTCCAAAAAAAAATTATGCTTGGGGTGGTTTTTCTATAAATGGTAAAACTAGCCTTTTTTGCTTCATGAGAATAATGAATGAAGAATTTTATGTCAAAATCCTGGAAAATCATATTCCAGAGATTCATGAAATGATGGGAAGAAGCTGGCAATTTCAGCAGGATAATGACCCTAAGCACATGAGTCATCTTGTTCAGTCATTTCTTAGGAATAACGTTCCTCAACTAATGGACTGGCCTGCAAATAGTCCAGACTTAAATCCCATTGAGAATTTATGGCATTTAGTCAAGACAAATGTAGAAAAGAGAATGCCAAAAAACTGTGAGGATTTAATGCAATTTATGGTTCAGGAATGGAATTCCATTCCCAATAGCATATTAATCAATTTAGCAAGATCAATGAGGCGAAAATGTGAGCTAGTTATAGAAAGTAATGGTGAATGTCAATAAAACTACTATGCATTGATTGTTAAATAAAATATAAAGCACATTGATTACTATAGCCGTTGTTGTACAATGATCAATAATTCAATTGCCGTTTTTTTCATGACACACTGTATAAGATCAGTAGAGCATCACTTATCACATTGTGACTTTGATTTCATTGGCTAAATTTTATGATGACAAAATCAATTTTATTGGCTTGAAGATCTTTTACAAAAACAAATTTATTGTCATCAGTGTAATTTTATAAGCTCTCATTTTTAATCTCATAGGAATTTGGTTTCTTTATTAACATTAATAAAAAATTTTATTTTCAAATTACAATGTCATTGGAAAAAGAAATAAAAATCATAATTTATCTTTTTAAAACTTTCAAATATTAAAAATGATATGGAAATGTTTAAATGGTTTAGGATGGTCAACATCCAATGTAGCTGGATATAAATTTTTTATTATCAATATATAACATATACACAAAGTCATAATAAATAATTTCCTTTGCCATCCCAACCATTTTCACTCTTTGCATTGAGTGGCAATTGGTGGATAATTAACCAATATGAAGCAGAACATACTTCAAAAATTTATAAATTTCCTACATAGATTATAATATGAATAAAATATTTTCATATTATATAGTGGAGAAATACCTCTGAAAGATCTTGGGCTCAAAATACAGACTGATGGAGTAGGATTTCTAAATGATGTTGTGAACTACCTGATAGTTTGTGAAGAGGGAGCTATACCAGGTGCACCACAAAAAAAAAATTCATTGATGATGACATCAAATGCAGTCAGCATGGCTGCATTATATAATAATATTGTCATAGAAGAAGTTGATGCATGCTGACAACTCTTTACCAGTTTACAAGTATATGGTCAACAGCATTTAAGACCAACTCATCATTTACCATGATGGATTTTAGATGTATGCAATGCATTACATAATTTGTATTAAAATATTTCATATAATTTGAAAATCAATAAATTCAATTTTAGGTTTTCATTGGTTATTCAAGGTTGATCATTTCAGCCTACTGAAAGATTGGGTTGATATGCCAACCTTTGTTTGGTTATATGAGACAATAGACAATGGGCTGCAAGCATTTGCATGCTTTCATTTTTCTATATGCAAATCAATAATTATATTTTTTGTGAATATAGTTAAGCATTAATTCCAGAAGCGTGAGACAATACTCTGAAATTAGTATAGCCAAAAAATTAGCACCATTAAAGTGTCAATATGAATTATCTTGAATAGAAATTGATGATTAATATTTCATTATTTTGTATCAAGGTTAAAATGATATTAATATAAATATTAGTATTGATTACGTTAGCCGAAATTGCCTCTTTAAATGATTGACACTGAATCTGAAATGCTGAAATAGTTTTCCATAGTTGATGAAATCAACTTTATTAGTTGGCAAAATTACATCCAAAATTATTTGAACACTTTAACCCAATAGCCAAAATTCTGGGTAGTTTTTTATGTCTGTTGATATATATAAAGAATATTGTAAATCCATTGCTTGCCGAAATTGCTGTTTTCAAAAACCATTTCAGCTCACATCCTTGATATTGATATTAGTATAAATTGTGAACCTAAATTTAAATTTATCATTTTTAAATTATTAAAAATAAGGTAAATGACTTCAGACTTTGATAAACTTGTAAACCAAATCGGAATACATATCAAGAGCTTGTGATTGGTGTAGAAGAGTTGGTTAAGGTGCATTCATAATGGCCCTTGCAAAACATGCAATGATGGTTCAAAGATTTGCACATTTAAAGGAAAACAGCAACATGAGTATTTCCTTGTAAAAATGAACCATCAAGACTGAAAAGAGATAAAGGAATGTTGAAAAAAATACAAAAGGTAAAATACAAAAGCAAAACAACGGGTATTTCAAACTTATTTTACTCAATTTAATTGTTGGCATTATTTATCTAATAATCGAAGAAAATTTCCCAGGATCAGTCTCAAATGAACTTGCTTGACTTAGATTATTTGTTAATAGGACAAATGTTGCCTATTGAATCCATCCCCATTCAAATAATTCAAGAGAATGATGTGATCAATATTTCACCACAACAGCAAATAACCATCATTTAACATCTTTAGTAACAATGTTATTATCTCAATTGACCAATAACTAAAATCTGTTGGTCAATAATGTATTCCTTTTTAAAATAATATTTTTCTAATACTGTCTGTATACTACATTATTTAATATCAATTTTCTTTAAATATACTACTTTTTTTAAAATTATTTTCCGTTTTTTGTTCCTTAACTAAATTACTGTGTAATTATGGACAACTGAAAAAGCGGATAAAAAATATGAAAAGGGTAGTATAACTAAATTAATGAAAAATTTATTTTTTAGCTAGTTGTAAATAAAAATATCTTCGAAATCAACAAAAAAATCATATGCCCTTTATCGATTACTCATGCAAACAGTACACTTGTAAAATCATGGGGCTTAACAGTTATAAAAACATAAATATTAAGTAATATAGGAAGGATTTAAATTACATTATATCCTGAATTAATATGATGATTAAACTTATACATAATACAAAAACCTTACTTTTATCTCATTGGTTTTTTAATTATTGACTTTCCTATTAACTCATCAACAATAAGTTCTTATTATGGAAATTAAAAGGTCCATTTTTGTTATTGTTTTTTTTTCTACTCTTGCAATGGCATTAGCTTCAATAATTCTAAAATCGATTGTTTCTTTAGAATTAGTTATTGGATCAATTTAAAAGCTTTTTTTCGAAAAGTTTATTTGAAAAAATTTTATATTTACATTGATTTAAACTAACTAAACCAATGATTCAATTAATTAATTGTCAGGTTGTTAATATCAAAATAAAAGGAACTTTTGATGAAAACGTTGATTACTTTGAAGAGAATGATTTCGATGATCATGGTACTGTAAAATAGCAATAGTAATTTTATGGATCACGGAAAATATCTCAAACAACGGAGAAACAAACATTCCAACATTCTAAAATGTAACAGACTTTTGTTAAATTTAAACAAAGGAATTTAAATGATTTGATCACTTTGAGGATAATTTGAAAATAATTCTACAATACAAACGACATTTCATATGATCATAAAATCAGTTAGGACTTTCGAAAGGTAAATCTAATTGTGATCAAATTAGCAATTCTTATGGGCATTAAGGCTCTTGTTTATATATGTATTTTGTCACAATGTTAAGGGGAAGATCATGAATATTCTCATTATCTCTATTAACCAACATCTGTCTAAATAGTTGTAAACATTATAAATTATACCAGAACATGACCAGGTCTGTGAGTCATCATTATTTGACCAAACAACAGTATAAAAGAAAAATATCATGAATATTACCAAACAAAATTAAAGAAATAAAAAAAACTTCAAAAACATTAAATCAAAATAACTTATCAGCGGGTTACCTGGAATTTTTTTATTTTTATCAGTAAATAAAATAATTTCTTAATAAGTGAAAGTTTTGTTTTTATTAACAACATATTTTTTCACATCATCTTTAAGCGAAATTTGAATGCATATGCTTGAATTACATCTGGTTTGAATTTCCAAATCTTTATCCTAAAAAAAATGATTAAATTTAATATTTGATCAGCTGATCAATTAATTAATAATAATTGTAACTTACATCATCATCAGGCATAATATCATCAATTAATTGAACTGTATTAGTAGTAGTTTTGTAAATAATTTGATCTTGCATAATATCATTAAGAGCCAACACTAAATTTATTGATTTTTCAATTGCTGCTCCAAGTCCATGAACTGTTACTGATGGATATCTCGTTAATTAGAAATTTATTAAGAGATTAGATTCATTTGGAATTTTTATTTTTATAAATTAATAAACTTTTAATTTCTTTACCCATCTAATAATAATTTTTTTGCTCTAAATAATTGACCTGTGAAACCCGATTTACGAGAAACATAAATATCAGTTGTAATTGTCGAGGGTCTTTGTGGTGTCCGTTTTTTAATAGTGGAATTATTTTTATTATTATTATTTTTTGAAACTTTTGTTTTCTTATCTCTTTCTCCCTTCCCTAATATTTTTGTTGAGTCTGGATTATTTTTCATTTTGAAATAGTAAGGATTTGCATAATTTTCAAAACGGGGTTTTTTATAGTTATAGCCATTCAAAAATGGCATTTACATTTTCACTCCAAAAGCTGAAGAGATTGTTACTTTAAATGTTTTAAAAATTGGCGAGAAGATGTAAATAATTCAAGCTTCATATGGGTATTCTTTATGGAGGTTAAAGCTCAGAAGAATATCAAAACATAAAATTCAATTAAATGCAGAGTTGAGATGTATATATATTGCTAATTGAAATTCATAATTTAAAATATTTATTATATACTTGATTGATTGCTTTTCATTATTTAAAACATTCTTGAATGTCCAAATCACCTTGCTAGTTATGTCAATTGGTACAGGAGTCAATCCTCACATGCTCATAGAGGTGGTAGTAAGATTAGGGAACAGCATAGAAGATGTTGCATTGTTAGAGTGATAATGAATATTGATCCTGTGTGGTGTTTCCAACAGACTAGACTTGTGTGATCCTATAGAAGCATAAATGCCAAGATCACTTGTGTCAAAGTACATGATGCTATTGGGTGTACCAACCCATCATCATGCATTTCATTCAAGTGTGGCTACATTATAAAGCCTCAGTCATCCTCATTCAGCAACTGGCTCTCAGCTTCTCATTCCACTTTACCACCCTTCTCAAAAACCTATACAGCTATACAGATCACCAGTCAATATCTACTGCTTCATACTGAAAAGATCAAATGAAAGTCAGGGGGATTTAATAAAATAATTGATCATCCATTATATGCTTTTCCCACTTGTTAAGGTCAATTCTACACATTTATTCATATAATCTTTATAACCTTTACTTTCTTCTTTTTCTAAATTCAAATACACAATCCAACTCCTTTAAGAGTTTTGTATTGTTTAATTCTTTGGCAAGAATGTATATATTCCCTTTAATCACTTTCAGTTAGCATAATATTTTATCATATGGGAGACTTCTAACAAAAACCAGGTATAAGCAATCTCTGCAAAATATGTTACACATGTTTTTGATATTTCAAGCCTATCTTGTTATTGTACCAAGCAAGCAATGTCTAAAATTTTCGCCAGTCATAATCCTTGTAGTTGGTATAGATATATATTATGCAGAAAACTCAATTTTGGTCTGGAGGCCCTATACCTGGTTCTTGCTAGAAACCCCCATATATAAATGTAATCAGTATGTCCAAGGATTCAATACTATCATGTAACTACCAGTGTTAATGACTTAAAGGATGAAAAACAGCAAAATTAGCCATAATTTTGCAGTAACTAACAAAATGATAACTATTACTAAAAGGATTAAAAAGATAAAATAGGCTATTTTTCTATTTTCCATTCCCAATTATGTAATTATAAGCTTCTATCCCCATGTTAATATTTTCCTTCCAAGTATTTCCACTTTCTATTAAGCAATTGCTCACTTTCATTCTACTTTCTCTCTTCATAAATAATTTTCTCTTTCCTTAGATGGTCTTCAATAATTTGTTTTAAAACATAAGTTGCAATCTAGGTGACATTTCTTTTAAAAAAATCAAGTTGTCAATACATATCTTTCTAGAAAGTGCCAATTAATTTGTTTGTTGTATGGCCCTTTTTTTATTGATATGAGTTTACATGATACTTGCTGCACATTTAAAAAAAAACCTCATTAACTATTAACTTAAAAATTTAAGGGAGATTCAGTTCTAGGGGTTCATTGCTTTTCCTCTTTTTTTTGGGCTATAGTGGATAAATGCCAAAATCATCTTCTAGAACTTTATTTGACTTATTTGCTTTACTCACTGAGAAACATAGCAAAGAGGTATTAAGAATATCCATGCTAAAAACATGGAAAAGATATGATAGTAATAGAAGCCATGAAACAATAAGTATTTTTTTGAAATGTGTCATGTGTTGTTATAAGTAATTTGTAAGTTTATATAGCGGTTTTTATCTGAAAATACCATAAAAGATTTTCTTTGGGGATGAATCGTAACCTTCTTATCACGTGAATTGTGTTTTACAAATGGTTGATAATCTTGTTTATTAATTTATTTATTTATTTTTTTATTTTTTTATTTTTTTGATGGAACAAGAAGGTATTGTCCCTTTATACACATTCCATATAATAACTTTTCAATATAATATATAATAAATAAATAAATATATTATTTAGTTATTTCAAAGATTATACAAGCGTTAGAAACAATTCATAATCCAAATGTATCTAATGAAATAAGAATTGAAGCACAAAAGGTTTTCCCAATATTTTAATGATTGCATAATTCATTCATTTAAACACCAAACAATAAAATAATATTTATTATATTTATCCGTCATTATAGTTTTGCAATTTTGTAAAAGATGATTTTATGGCGCCATCATATGGACAAATATTAGCTGGAAAAAATAATCAACAACCAGATTTTGTTAGATATTTTGGTTTACAATTAATTGAAAATAGCATAAAATTTAAATGGAACGATGAGACTTATAATGATAAAGAACGAGAAAAAATTAAAAAAGGAGTCATAGAATTAGTCAATGAGGTTTATATATAAGTTTCTACATACATAAATACATACTCTCATACTAATAATGATTTTAACAATTAGGGAATTGATAATATATTTGTTGAAAAATTGTTTATTAAAGAAAAAATAGCGAATTTATTTGCAAATATTATAAAGATTGAATTAACTGATAATTTATTTGAGATGGATAATCTTGCACAATCTTATTATTTTTCAGAAGTATTAATTTGTTGATTATTAAATTTATTAAATTAATAAAGTGATTAATAATATAAAACGAATAATTAAAATTATTTGCTAAAGAAATTTTTTTTTTAAAAAAGCCAATAAAACAGGAGTTAATGCTTATCGCTTATCGTTATTTAGCTGAAGATCTTGATATACGTGATTCATTGATAAGTTTAATTTCTAGCTTCAATACTCTAAAGAAACAATATCCTCATGGAGTTAAAAATGAAAGCAATCAACAAGGAAAACTTACAATTATGTACAGTGATACAAACAATGAAGGATGGTTAATAAGATGGACAAGATCATTAAATCAATTAATGATTAATTTCCAGAATCAAGTAAATTACTATTATTATATTAAAAATATATATGAAATAATAGTTATAACATTATATATAATATATATTATAGCAAATGATTAATCCAATGGATGAAAAATTATCAATTGCAATACTTAATACAATATCAGCCTACATGGATTGGGTTATTCCAATGTAACAATTAATCTTTTAAATTTATTAATTTTCATTAATTTATTAAACTTATTAAATTTGGTTGATTTAGATCCATTTCTGAAACAAATATTATTTTAATCTTGTGTCAATTTTTGATGATAGACTCCAATGAAATAAGATTGGTGACTATATACCTAATAAATAATAGACAATAATAACAATAATAATAGTATACATAATATACTAATTAATCAATATACAAATTGTATCATTTTGATAGGCTGCAATTGAGTGTTTGTTGGTGATTGTATCTAGAAACTTTCAAAATCCAGAAGATCGAGCAATTGTTCTTGAGCCATTGCTTGATGGAAATCTGATCGAATTATTATTTTCCTCGTATAGAAGGCTACAACCAATTCTTTTAGATGAGAAAGAATATGATTATACAAAAAAATTTGTTGAAGTCAGCTTCTAATCCTTTGATAATTACAACAATAACATTATATATTTGTTTGCTGATATTTTAATATTATATATATACACACACATTATAGACTTTGGTAGTTTTGGGTGATAAGCATATTTGTTTCAAGAACAATGGATCATTACCTAAACAATTTCAAAGGTAAAATCAATTCACATTGTTTTTATTAATATTAATATTAATATTAATATTAATATTATATATTTATGTATTAGATATTTAGAATTATTGTATGAAATTTCAAAACATTCATCAAATTTTATTGCTTCATTAACAATGATCTTTTGGAACTCGGCATTACGACATCCATTTATCTCTAAAGTGAGAAATGCTTTACAATTTTATTTTGATTAAAATATAACAGCTAAAATATAACTTTATTTATTTATTATGTTTTAGACTTTCAATGAACAAGAATCCTTATTATTAATGTTATTGGAATTATTTTCAAATAGAGCACTACTTGTAAGATTACAGATTTTTAGATCAATTGATTAATTTATAATTTTTTTATTATTAGTATTATATATATATTAATGTTTAAATTTATTTAGCTTATGCAACCAGATGATGTTAATAATGAAATAGTCTATTATAATGAATTGGAATTTGACACAATTAAGGAATATCATAACTTTGCACAACCAATTCGTACAAAATGTATTGAAGCAATAAAATTAGTAGTTCAAATAATACCAATCCAATCATTCAATTGGATGTTTAATCGAATTCAACCATTTTTCAATATTAATCCTAATCAAAATGATTTAGATGGTAAATGATTAATATTGTTAATAGTAATAATAATATATAACACTTTACACTTCACTATAGTATTATTTATTTATTTTAATAGAAAGTGGGGTGTGTAAGATGGATTCTTTGCTTTATATAAAGTTTGATTTAGAAATGACAATAATGGAATCAATCCTTTCTTGTATTGGAACTTTTGTTAAAAAAGACTGTGATAAAAATAATGATGATACTGTATGTATAATTTGTATTATAATTGTTGTTTTTTCCCTCCCACCTATATCTGCTGTTGATACATATTTATTTATTTATAAGGAATTATTACGTGACCAAATAGTTAATGAAATGAGAAATTTACTTAAAATTTTGCTTGACATTGAAAATTTGGTATGTTATAAATACTATTTAATGATATATTGATGCTTGAGATTAATATATACATTACATTAATATTTATATTATATTAATATTTATAGGATTTACTATTGATGCATCGATACCTAAACTCATTTACATCATTTGTGGATATGTTGAGCATTGATACTACCTTATTGTTACCACTTTTACAAAAAGTAAAAAAAAAATTTTTAAATCTAAAATTTAATATTACATTATTTAACCATATATACTTTTTTTTTGATAGATTTTTAAATATATAATTTTTTGTCCTGAAGGGTTTCATTTATCAGCAAAAACATCCATGCCTTCAGCCATTTCACGATTAAGATCTGGAGCAATGACTACTTTGATTAAACTTGGTGCTGCTATTCCTGATATTTTAATGGTAAGGTTAAAATCTTTTAATTTTTATTATATTGTTATTTTTACAATAACTATAAACAAAGTAACTCTTTTTATTAGAATTTATATGGTGAAATATCTTATTATATAAACAATATAATAGCTGCAGATAAAAAATTGGTGACTGGAAGAGAAAATGGTTTATTAAAAGAATTTTTGCTTTCAATATGGTATGTATATTTTACATACATGTACATGTACACATATATAAATGAATAGATCATTGATTATTTAATTAAATTATTTATTAGTTACTTTTCAAAGATTTCATTACAACAAAAACAAGTGATTTTTGATTCAATTGTTGAAAGTACAATAAGTGAAATTCATTCAAAGAAAATTAAAAGCTTTTTATCAAATATATCAGAATTTTGTGAAGCTTCTGGGCTTGTACTGCTTTCTTCTGTTGGTAAGATTCACAATATCATATTACTATATATAATTATATAATTTATAATTAAAGTTTTTCAATTTAGTTAATGATATGAAATTGAAGGGAATGTTTAGTTTTAATTCAATCTTGGAGGAGGGATTCTTTGAAAGCTTTGAAGATTGTAGAGTGAGAACAACTAAAGTAATTTGGATTTAAAAATTTTTTTTTTAAAAGAAACCATATATTCATTTACTAATGTACAAATTTATATATAATAATCATATAATACTATAAAAAATTCTTTATTGATATTTTTATAATAGTTAACATGGTTAATTAATAGTATTTTGACATGGTTACGATGTATTATAGATCCAATTTCCAAGGCAATGTGTTAATATTAAAAACAAGTCTATATTGTTATATTATTACAGTAGTGTATTAATGTTTATTATTGATTAATAGACAGGAAATGATTCAAGCAAAATCATTCCAGAACTAAATCTATGGGAAAAATATATTCCCATAATAGCAACATCAATTTTATCATTAATTAGGTATAATTTATTAATTTTCAGATATTTTTATATTAATATTTTATATATTTATATTATAATTATTTATTATAGAAATATTCATTACCTTTGGAATACTGAATTATGGGAAAATATTCCAGCCGAATTACAAAGGATTTTAGTGCCAAGTGATGAAGAAAAAGCATCATATTTAGGATTTCAACAAAAGTCCAATCCAACTAATGATGATCATTCTAAACAATATACCATTGTAGGAATGATTGAACGATTACATAAATGGCTTTATAATATAAGGATAGACTGGTAAGAATTATATATTACAAATATTAATGTTAATTTATAATTTAACTTAAAATAATATTTTTCTGTTTATTTATTACCTTCCATCCAAGCTATCGCATTCTTGGTTGTTTAACCTTTTTTGAACCATTTTATTCTATTCCCAATATTCATGAATTAATTGCAACTTCATTATTTGAAAATGCAAAATATGTTAATAATATTCATTGGAAATTGTTACTTAATATCCTTATCATTATTATTATTATTACTATACATATTTTTTAATAAATAAAAATATCTTAACTTAGATTATATATTTTATATACCTATAGTAATTAAGCCTTATGTCATGAATTGTCAAACACCTGAAATACTCTCGAATGTATTACCACAATTAATAAAACACTTGGATCAAAAGTTGGTTAATGAATGGAGTATTTTGATTGAAAAAGGAATACAAATTTCACCGCAAGAAGAAACGTTTGCTATTATTTTATTATTGGAATTGATTATTAACTATTAATTATATATTTGTTATAATGTGCTTATTTATCATTATTATAACAATAATTTATTTAATTAAAGGATCAAACTTTTTGGTGATGTCTTGAAAATGAGTAATGAATTTGAGGAGATATTAAATGAAAAATTATTAAGAGATTTAACAAGAGCTTTTATTGATTTTTTTGAATCAATCCTCATTGAAAAATCAAAAAAAAATCCGAATGGTATTATAATTATTGTTGTTGTTGTTGTTGTTGTTAATCCTTCATTACAAATTTTTTTATTTTATTATTAGATTGTAATAGTAAAAATTTAAAGGATTATATGTTGAATTATATGGTATTCATTCATTCATTTATTCATTTGGTGCCTTTTTCTCTCAATAATAATAATTACTAACAATATTATAATCAATATTATTATTATAACTTCAGCCTGTCACAGAACCATTTTTAGTCAGTTTATGTCATCTTATAACTTTTGAAGATATGATAAGTTGTTCAAGAGCTGTTCAATTATGTAATAAAATGATAAAAAGTTTAATTCAAAATGAATCATTAAGAAATTTTGTTGGTAGAGAATTATTGATATCAGCATTACAGGTAAGATAGTATATCAACACTAATATTAATAATACCAATATTAAAGATCTTTAATAAATTTGTCTATAATTAATAGGCGTTAAATGATGGGCACCAAAAGGAGAACCATTCATTGATAATAGCATTAATTACAGAAATTTATTTATCGTTAAGACCAATCTCTTCTGTGCCATATGAAACATTTGGTCAAATATTAAATTTAGATCATGTTAAATTACAAGTAATTAAAATATTGAAAATATTTTATTTTAATCAATAGTCTATTGTTAATATTATTTATTTTAACTATTAGGATTTTGAAGCATCACTTGTACAAGGAATCGATTTAAAAGAGCAAAGAAATACGGTAAAAAAATTTCTGGGAGGTTTTACAGGAGTAAGAAGTCAATTTAATTTAATTTTAATTTACTATTATTAAATTCTCACCAAATAATTTAAATTTAAATTTTTATTAATAATTTAGTTGTCTAAAAATGACTTGTTTAAAGAAGTCACAATGACAGTCAAAAGTTCTTCATCATCTCATAGAACAATCATTGGCGATTATATAAAACCAAAATTAAATGTTCTAGATATAATTGATGATTCAAATGAGTCAACAACAGGATTGAAAGAGTTATTTGATTAGTTGTAATTAAAAATTCAATAATAAATATGATGACCGTTTTCTTGGTACATACCCCTTTGTGTCATGTGTGATTGATTATAGATAATCAAATCACTTTAGCCAGTAAATTTTATTTTGATGGCACATTATATAAAAATAATTTCGTATTGTTCTGCTCCCTAACACCCTATACCAGCCCAGCCCATGCACATTTATTGGTTGGTTATGGTTTAGAGGCACATTCACGTCAAATGACGCCATACACATTGAGATGCGCCAAATGCACGGGTACACCGTTTAAATTTTCTTGAATTTTTTAGTAGGACAATTTCTCGGATAATAACAATTCAAAGTGATTTTATTTGGTATAGATTGATAAAATTATCCCAAATTTTAGAATATGGTGCAGCTATTGGTACTAAAAAGACAACAATCTCCAAACTTGGGGAACAAAAATTTTTAATATATACATCAATTATAAGAAGAAAGGCAGGTCATTATTGGCCCAAAAATTTTCGGGTCTTTTATTTTTTCAAGTAGAAATGGGGGGTTTTTTTTGAATTCTTAAAATCTATAAAAGGCATAATTATTTTAAAATTAAATCGATTGTGGGGTAAACAAGCAGTGTAACGTAGATAATTGGTCTTTGTTGTAAAAGTTGTTTTGTAAACCATAAATGGAATCAATTCATATTGAAAATCATACATCTGTTTTAAAAAAAGCTTCAAGGCTCAAATTTTTTAGCGACTGGTTATAAAAAAATGTGTCTTTTTTATATTATTAAAAAAAGCCTTTATTCAGAGCAATATTTAATATTTGCTTCTTTGGGTATTTTTAATAATCCATTCTTTGAGTTTATTGACATGTTCATTTTTTCCTTTCTTTATTTTTCTTCTTTTGAGGTTTCCACTGTTAGTTCTATGATTGATTTTGAAGTTTTAGGATATATGCCTTTTGACTCCACACAGCTCCTGTAAAAGATGCCCTAGTACTAATTATCATTAATTAGCTTTCTAATATTGTTTATTTTCAAGAGCCAAACTCAAATCTCGGCTTACCAAATAGAACCCCAGAAACAATTAGTTGAAAAAAAAAAAAAGCTCAAATTCAAAAGAACAACAGCAAGCAAAAAGAAGAAAATGCACTCAATTTTATTTTGATTCAATTACCGCCATTTATCATGCTATTACTTTACTATTTGTTGAACAAAGTGAACTAAGCAACTAAGCAAAATATTAGGGTACTCTGTATAACCAACCAGTCACTAAATTTGCACCCTGAAACCTTTGTATGCCACATATAATATGTTACATTGTGCATTATACATTGTAGATTACATTATACATTGCATTAATAACATTTCATTATACAAATAATACTACTATGATGTAAATAGATAGATACTTGCACAAGAAACTGTGCACAAAATAACAAAATTCGTCATTATTATTTTTAATTGTTGTATAGATAAAATAACAATATAAAATTATTTAATACACGAGCACACAATCAATTATATTGTTAAATGGTTTGTTTGTTAATTCTACTAATTCTACGAAAATTTTCCATAAAAAATTAAAAAAATTGTTAATTCAAATCTTAATTTCTTTGTTGCCCAAATTTATATTTTAGTTTTTTGGTTGTTTGACATTTTTATTTACATTGTTTTTTTTTGATCAGCGCATTTTTTGAATGAAATAATGATTAATGTTAATTAATATAAGAATATAAAAATAATATGGTATTTTTAATTCTTAATCAAGTTTTTTTAAAAAATTGATCATATGCACAAAATTTATATATAAAAAAATAAATATATAGAGAATTGAAGTTTCCAATATTTTTTGTTTTTTTTAAATTTTTTCTTCAATGGATTAGTCTTTAATATATATATATATAATAATAATCGATTAATAAATAATAATAATAATAATAATAATAATAATAATATAAATGTACAATATTCAATTATTCAATTAAATCTTAACATTATTTATTATTATCATTATTATTATTTATTAATAGTTATCTATCTATCACACTTCTAAATTATCAAGGTAGATTATATTTATATAATAATAATATTATATTGTTATCCTTTGTAAACTAAATTCGATTAAATTTTAAAAAATCATTTAAAAAATAATTTCGTTGCATTTTTTTTTTTTTTCGAAAAATTTTATTATGACAAAAAAAATTTATATATTTTTTTTCAAAAAATTTTTTTTTTTTTAATTAACAGTTAGGTGGAATTTCTTCGATTTTAATCAATCAATCAATCAATCAATATTCACTCGCGTCAGCCAGCCAAGTTTTCTTGATTTGATAGTTTATTTCACCTTTAACTACGATTATTCATTCTTTAGAATCATCATTTTTTCCTTTCTATAGAAGAACAAACTTGTCATTGGTTGACCAGTGACTTCTTATAAATATAGCTATTAAAATACACTTTCTTTTAGATTTATTTTTCTTTCTCCCTACGTACACGTATTTATTATATTACCAAAAATTTCAACCTAGCTTTATAGATTAAAAAAAAATAAATTAAAAATAACATGTCGCATACAAGTGACGTGACTTTTTTAGGTGAGTTTTCAAACTTTTAAATTTAACGATTTAGTAATTTTTTTAATTTAATATTTAATATTTTTTTCTATATTTAAATAAAAGCTCGTGCGGTTTTTACAGTATGGACTTTTATTTGGTTCTTACAGCATGTCTGGAATATCGATCGTTTCAAAGCATTAAAATGGCGACGCATAAAAAAATTCGAATTGGTAAGATTTATTATTTTCTGTAGATATTTTTATTGATCACATGACTTAACGTGATTATTAATGAAATATAGAAATCAGCAATCACAATCTTATTATTATTGATGTTGCCATTACAAGCATTTTATGATATTTCATCTTCTGTAATAAAATACAGAGAAGGCTTTTTCTTGAATCCGTTGAACGGCGAAATTGTTTCCAAACCTCATACATTTTGGAGTGAGGAAAATAAAGCATTAATGTTATCCACGGATTATATTCTTTGTGCAAGTTTCAGTGTTCAAACGTAAGTAATTATTCCTTAATTCTTTTTCACAGTAAGAAAAAAAAATCAATTTTTAATTAATTTTAATTTTTTAAAAAAATAGATGTTTATTATTTTTGCTTCAATCATTTTGGAATTATCTTGCTAACAATCTTGCAAAGACTACATTCATGGGAAGTTTCGGTATGTTTACACAAATAAATATTATTTTTTCGATTCTTCTTGTTTCTCTTCAAATCTTACTCATATTTTTCTTTTATTTATTATTTATTACATTATTAGAATTTAAATCATATATTGTCTATTCAATCTTTAGCATCTCGATATTTCCAATCTTACAATATGTATTTCGTGAAAGCAATTTATTGACCGAAGTAGTTCCTCAATTAACCTATTCGATATTCATGATCCTTATTTGTATACTGGGTATAAGATCACACTGGCGTTTCACTAAATTATTGAGAGTCACTAAAAATTCTAGTACTGCACGAACCAGCATCGTTTCTAAGCTAACCTATTTTAGAGATATGAATCGTTATTTAACATTAGCTCTTTTCATTGGCTCTATTTCATTGGCTACATTAAGTATTGATGGTCTCACATCTGCGAAATGGTTAAATAGTCATAAATTATCATCCGATCTCTTAATATGTCATTTAAATTTCTCGATTTGGATAGTTTTTGTCACTTTAATCTTAATTTTTTATCCTTCTACAAGCACAACTAATGATCAAATTCAATCAACAACAAAAGCTTCAACTTCTGCCACTGCCACAGCCTCCTCTTCCTCTTCTTCTTCAAATAAAATATTAATGAAAAATGAAAAATCGTTAAACCCCTCAAAATGGATTCCAAAATCATATACAGCCTCCGAAGAAGATTGTGTTAAATTAAAACATTCGCCAAGTCCCTGGTCATCACAACAATCACGTTCAGCTAACGATGTTGTCAATAGTAGCTACTATATAGATATAAACGATGATTCAACGGTTGTCAATATCAACGGTAGTGGCAGTAATAGTCATAACAATAGTAATAGTAATTATTATATCCATGGCAACACTGATATTAATATTAGTAGTAAGCAGTTGAAGAAATGCATTAAACAAATAAGATCAGATTCATTAGACGTTATTTCCCCACCACCAATAACTCCTCCGTCACCTTACAGACCTTATGCAGCTAATGAGCCGCTGACGACTTTTAAATCATCACCATCAGCATCACCTACTTCGCCATCATCACCTTTATTACCACCACCTGTTGCAATACCAACGACTGCTAACACTACTCAATTTAACTTTTACAATTCTAACTCGACAATTAAAACTAATAAAAATGTCGAAATTTTAAAATATCCTTCTTCTCCTTTAACTAAATCAACTTTTGATATCAATAATAATCATAATAATAATAATAATGAAAAATCTTTTTCAAATGGTGGCAGTATACAAATCCCTCAAAAAGTTTCAACCTTAAAATTACTTTCTCCTCCACCTTTTTATAATAATAATGTTATTAGTAATAGTAGTAGTAATGAAAAATTTTCTGTTCCAACAACAAACATCACGCTATCTCCAGCACCAATGGCACCAAAGAAATCACCAAGAAGACCATCAATTAAAACTAAAACAAATGATAATAATTATATCGCAGAAATAAATGTTAAAGATGATGGTGTTAATAATAATAATAATAATAATAATAATAATAATAATAATAACAACAACAACGATAATTCATCAAATATAATAACAACAACAAGGAAACTTACCATCAAATTTCAGGATGATTTAAAATCAAAACTTCATCATAATCTTACTATTAACACTACTAACATTAATAACACCAATAAAAATAATATTAATAATGGTAATGGCAACAGCAATGATTTTAATCAAAATACAACATCATCAAATATTGGCGCTACAAAAATTGTTTCTAAAAAACAAAAAACTAAAGTACTTTCAAAACTAATAACTACCGCTACTACAAAGACTTTATCAAGGTCTACGTCAATTGAAGTTCCATCATCATCTAAATCTTCTTCTTCTTCTTCACCATCATCACCATCACCATCACCAATAATTAAATCATCCTCTAAATCATCATCACCTTCATCATCACCTTCACCATCATCATCGCCATCGCCAACAATTAAATCATCCTTTAAATCATCATCATCATCTAAATCAAAAAAACCACCATCATCTTCAAAATCACAACAAAAAATAAGTAATGTTAGCAAACCTTACCAACAATCTCCACTTAATCCGAAAAGATCGGATAAACCAGAATCATTAAAAACATCTCTTCCCCCTATCACTATAAGAGCTAGGTCGGGTAGTTCATCAAATGTTATAGAATCAAATAACATACGGAAAAGTGCAATAAATAGAAATCGATCAAATAGCACAAATACTTTGAATAATAGTAATAGTACTCTGATCGGCGGTGGTACGAGAAGGATACCCGGAAGTGCAAGTAGCACTAAAGGTAATACAGGTAGTAGAGGTGGTGATGGTGTTAAAGGAATAAATACATTGGGAAGAAGTAGATCAAGCAGTAACAGTAGTGCCAGTTCATCAGGAAGTTCAGGCAATGAGAGCAGCAGCAGCAGCAGCAGTAACAGCAGTTTTGGTGGTAGTGGGAACAATGATGGTAAAATCAGAAAAGGTATATTAAAAAAGAAGGTGATTAAGCCAACAAGAGATACAGTTCTTGGTATAATATAAAAACAATGATTTTAAAATTTTAAAAGACGATTTTATTTAGATTAATATTCTAAATCTTTTTCTTTTTTGTGATGAATAAATATTCTTGTAGATAATGTATTATTATTTAATTAATAAATATAAATTTGTAAATTATTTTCCTCTTAATACTTTTCTGCCAAGTAAAATGTTTTTTATTATATTGATTATTCCAATTCTATATTATCTATATATATCATTGCCTTTTTATTTGCTTTTTTTATAAGATGATTTTTCTGCAATTTCTTATTATTATTATTAAATATTTGATTTAATGATCAAAATCTTAAAAGTTTTATAACCACAGAAAACATTAAAAATGTTTTTAACTCGTCTATAACGTAACAATGCGACAAAAATTATAAAGCTACAAAATTCTGTGGTAGTGATGATAATAGCGATGTTGGTGATAATGACGATGACGATGGTTGTGATGTTGATAATGGTAGTCACGGCATTAATAATAGCAGCAGCCATTAACAACGGTGGTGGTGGTGCTATCGCAAGTACTGCTTCTCTCATATGCACTAGTACCTACATCAATGACACCCACAGGAAGGATTAATCAATGGAGTTTGAAGGTGTTGGTTGATGAAAAGACATATAATGGAGTTACTAAATAATAACTTTTTTCTAGGTGGCGCTTCTCGTTAAAAAGTTAAAGTACAGTTGAATTTTGCCAACGCTACATTCAGCGAATTCATTTCTTTGTTGTAGTGTAGTTATATCTGTCGGATAATATCCAACGAGTATCCGATTATTCACATAGTAATAGGAATTTTTTATCTTACGGATAATCACCGATGATATTATACCAAGGAAAATAAAGTTACGGCGAATTTTAAAACAGACCATTTGTCTACTATTACTATTGAAATTCAAAAGACAAACTGGCGCGTTTATTTGACTGTAGAACAATTTTTACTTAGCATGGTAGGTATGCAATATTTATTTATGTAGCGTAAAAAACAACGCGTCATGTTCGAGCAGTAAGCATAAAGAACTTAGTACGTATGCGAGGCTTGTTTTTTTTTAAATATATTAATAGGCAAAATTATACGGATATCCATATTAGTAGTATACTACCCAATTATCCGGCCAATTGTCCTAACCCTTTACCTGTAAATTATTATTCCTCCCCCACCATGCTTTACCGTTGGTGCCGGATTTTTAATATTAAAACGCGTCCCCTTTTCACGCCGAATTCATATTGGCTTATCTAGAGGTTAGAATCGACTAAAATAGTCGACTAACTTTTTTTTTAAACAACTAATAGTCGACTAATACTAATTATTATTATTGTCTGGCCAAATTATAAATGATAACGTTTTTTGTGGTACAAAAAAATTTAAAAATAAAATAATGGAAAATAATAAAAATAAATATGCAGAGTATCAATATTATGAAGAAGATGATAATGGTGGTGTTGGTGCTGGTATTGACGATAATTATCCATGCGAAATAATAAACATTGATACAAGGTCAAATCATTCCAACAATTCGTTGGCTTCGAGCTCAAGCAGTGGTTCCAGACCTTTAAAAAAACGAATTATAACATATAGCTTCGTATGGAAGTATTTCGAGAAAATTAAAGATTCAAATGGAGATGAATTTGTAATCTGCAAATTAAAAAAAACCGTTAATAATAATGAAACAGAATGAATATTCTAATTAAATAGGATGTTATTCCCATGACTAGAGTGTGACCATTTTGCGAAGCAAATGGTTACACGCTAGTATTAAAAAAATTTAGTCAACTAAAAGAAATTTTGACCAACTAGTAGTTGACTAAGGATTTTTTGGACGATTCCAACCTCTAGGCTTATCATTGCCAAATAGTGTAAAGCGGATTTCGTCACTCCACATGACACTTCTCCACCGTCTTATGGACCAGCTTCGTCGATTAATACACCATTCGAGTTTATTTTGGCGCTGGATTTCGTAGATATGTGGTTTTAATGTTGCATTTTCATGAGTTTAAACCAATTTCATGTAAACTTCGATAAATTGTTGTAACTGAAACATTTAAACCGGTGGATTCATTTACAGATTTTTTTATATCACTAGCAGCAACTCTATTATTGTTGGCAATAATTTCCTTCAAAGCGTTTTTTTCATTGTCACCAAGTGCTTTGGGTCTGTTTACTTATTGATGCTTCAGATTTTCCATAAACTTGAATAGTTCTTTCCACAGTTGCAACTGGAAAACCAAGAGTCTCGCTGGTTTCTTTTCCGGTATGTTTATCTTTGAAAAGACTGATGATTTGGAATTTTTGAGGTACAGTGAGTTTGCGATTTTAGAAAAAATTGATCAACAAGCAAGTGTATATTATTTAACTGACCCGGGCGGGCCAACCCTGATTAACACTTAACATCACAACAGAAAGAACAATTACCGCATGATAACAATTAATGTTAATTCATTCCATGATTTTATTCTTCCTAACAGATAGGCAAAAATTCCCAAGCAAGACGATTGTCGTGCTTAAGTTTTGGAAGTTGTCCTTCTTCCTTTAATAGATCTTCATTTTATAAATCTAACAAAAGAATTTTTTTTAGTCCACAAAAATTTTCATTTCGCAACTAATGCACTACAATAGTAAATACTTTGATTATGGCTCCAACATGACTTTCATTTGGAAATGGAAATTTAGCAAAACTTTTTTCATCTCACTATTACCCATCCTGTCATCACTACACATCTTTTCATCATCACTATTATTCAAATTAGGGTTTACTGTAGATTCTAAAATTTCTATTACTTTATAAAATAATTATAATTATAATTATAGTTGGTAATATTTCTATTATTATAAAAATGTCAGCTATTATATATTTAATTGCTTTAAAAAAACCAACCTTCTAAGCTTGTGTCAATATTTCCTTTGTGTAAACTCAGAGTTTTATAATTATATATTTATTTATTTCATTGAATAGTGCATAAAAATATTAAACATCCAATTATAAATATTCACATTATTATAATTAAATTAACCCAAGTTGATTCTCCTGGCACAGAAACACAATAATCCAAATGTCTATTTTCAAATAAATTTGAATAATATCTGCATTGTGAAATTCACTATCAATATCCTCATCATCCTATATTAATAAATAAATTGTTATCAAATAAAAATTCTAGAGTAATAGTAATATATAAGTATTCTTTCAAAATATCATGATAAAATAGTGGTTTTCATACTTGTTCCTACTGAATATTTGCAGATAAATCAAAAAAAAGAATACGATCATGTATATAACTATTTATATTTATATCATCTTTTGCATTCTCTCACGTCCCTTATATTATTTTTTGCCTTGTTACCATTTTTCATATCCAGAACTATGATTTTGTGTCATGGTATGAAAACGTACTAAAGAACATTGTGGAATTTTTTCTAAATGTGTATCATTCAATGAAGATATCTTTATATGTATATATTTCTTTCGTAAATAAAGATTCACGTACTTAACTTGTTTGTAATTTTCCTTTGAGGTAAATTTATTTTCAAAATATTTTTGTAATTATTACTTTCAATTACAAGATCAAGATCACACAAAAACAGTGAGTTAATATATCATATATGTTCCTTGTGTCAAATACAGGCTTACCAAGGAAATGTTTAACAACATTTGATGGTTTAGGAATGTACTCTTTTGTAGTGAACATCTCTATTTGCATTCTATAAAGATTTTTCAAAACGCGTAATCAAATCACCTATGATAAGGTAATCGAAATCGAAACAATCGATTTTTATATTGCGAGTAGCTTTTTGATCAATCTTGATTGTTTTATGAGTTTAGTTGACTTTTTGGCCACATTCTGATTAATTGCAAGCCTTTATATTTAATTAACGAATTTATTTAACAACCATCCCGCTTACTATCCCTTTCTTGTACCTAGAAAGCTTCGGCGAATCTCTAAGCATACTTTACGGTACAAATAGATAAAGAATAAATAATAACTGATAAAAATACGAATATAAAACGAAAGATGTTAGGTCACATGTCCGGAACACGATTGGGTGGCACCTCGATAAATGCGTCTTATTTATCATAATTTAAAAAAAAAAATTTATTTTTAATTATTATTCTTCGTCAGTTCTTTCAGAAAGACTTTTTTCTGGCGCAGAGGGACAACAGATTGTTTTGTTACGAAACAGATGAAACAAAAAATTTGTTATTATTTTTTTACTACCCATTAAAGAAGGAATAAAAATTTACCGATCACTTTAATTGATATTACTTGAATGATAAATGTTATAGTATTTATTAGTTATAATTATAATTGTAATTATTGATAAAAGCTAGTAGTAAATTGATTGCTTTGGGATCGTCAAAGATTCAAGCACAAATGAATATATGTTGGCATTTGAATATCCCCCAAATGGAGGTTACATAACTATTTATCAAAAAGGTTCAAGGATAAGTTTAAATTTTAAATTAAATTTTTTCTTTTTATAAATAATTAATTTATACATTTTATATAAATTCATTTATGGAAGATTTAACAATTAGTAAATAAAAATGAGAAGTCAAATGAGATCTTTGGAGTAATTCCATATCTGGCACCTGAAGTGTTATCAAGTAGGAATATACAAATGAATCAGATATTCGTATAGTCTTGGATGATTATGTGGGAATTCACCACAGGTGATCATGGGAGCAAGACCTAAAATCATCAAAGACACTCCTGAATTCTATTTTGATTTGATGAAAAAATGTTGGGATTTAAATCTAAAAAACAGAAAAAAAAAAATGAAAATCATTGAATCAGCAGAATAAACATAAAGAGCTCATTAAATCAGAAAAATATCTTTCATAGGAAAAGCATTCGTTTAGATGCATTTTGTATAAGTCATCAGTTAGTGAATTAATTGAGCAGGATACTTCAGGTCAACAACAATCTGCTAAATCAGCAAATTGCAATGTTGGCAATTTAACTGGTTGAAATCTTTTTTTAACTTTTGAACTGTTAATTGGTTAAATAAAGCCTTGGAAGAAGCTTTATTACCAATTTTTGATTCTCATCAAAATACTAAATTATTTATAAGGATGTAAATTTATCAAAGTTCATTCATTCTTATTGGTACTACTTCTATTCATGAAACTGAGAAATTGTCAGATCCTTTACTTTCTCACTTAGATTGAATTAATGCAGACACCACTCAACCAAAAAATTTTTCTTGGATAATGTTATTACTGATTTTTGGTGCCTTTCACTTTAATCAATTTTGGTTTTGTTGATTTTGCTGCTGGTTACAAAAAAATGTAAGCATGGAATTAAATGAAAATGTAATCGTAAATAATTTTTGCAAAGTTGATTTGCTAATTAATAAAAAATGATCAACAATCCTGTCCAATCAAATTCATTAATTCAAAATTTGCTATCATTTTTTGTGCGCACAAATTTTGTTGAGGAACATTTTTAATCAAAAAATTAATAACAGTAATAACGACACAATAATAATAATAACAACAATAAGAAATGCAAGTTCTAGAACAAACAACAGAATCACCGTCTTTTAATTTTTCCTTTGAAGAAAAACAAGGTGATTTGTTTAAGGATGCTCCTTCAACAGATTCATTGGTTCATTGTGTATCTCAAGATTTACGAATGGGTAAAGGTATCGCGACGATGTTTAAGAATCTTTATAGTGGAATAGGTGAATTAAAATCTCAAAATAAGAAAGTTGGCCAAGTTGCTTATCTTTTACGTGAAAATCGTTACATTTATTATATGATTACAAAAATGTATTATTATAACAAGCCAAGAAAACAAGATTTTGAAGCTAGTTTAAAAGAATTGAAAAGTTTATGTGAAAATCAAGGTGTTACTGGTTTAAGTATGCCTAGAATAGGTGCAGGTTTAGATAAATTGGATTTGGATTATGTTATAGAAACTGTTAAAGAAATCTTTAAAGATAGTAATATTAAAATTACAATGTTTTATTTGTAAATAATTGTATATTCAGTGATATAATAAATAATAAAATAAAATATTTTATTTTAATCTTAATTAATCGTCTCATATTCAAATATCCAATGTTTACGATTATAATTTTCCATTAACTCAATGTTTTGACCATTTATTTTTGCCATCTAATGATCCCACCCTTTAAAACCAAACTTTCTGACTTGTTTTAATGCTACCCCTTTTGAATAAATTCTAGCACATTTTGGTCAACAAGCTTGAGATAGTGCACAAGTACAAACTAATCATGAAACTATTTACAGTTGATTGATTTAAATTTTGAAAAGGAAAAAACTAAACTTTTTGATTAATTTAATTAATTATCAAGTTAATTATAATCAGAAATCAGATATTCTAAACTGTCATTTATTTTATTAGAAGACTTGTTTACACTATTTGGTAATATTATCACCCCAATATAGATTAAAATCAAAGCTTATAAAAATCACTATATAATCTTGATCTCTAACATCAACAGCCAAATAATCTTTTTCTCAATAAATATTCTTCAATTCATTAGGTTCGATGAATTTGATACTATCATTAAAATGCATGTCATCTATAAATGTCCAATAGCCCAAAATTCTTGATCACTGTTGTATTGAATTTGAAATTAGCCAATTAAAAGAAATACTTCGCCCATATTTGATTGGCTGGCTAATTTCAATTTTCATGTATAACATAAATGCTAGCGAGGCATGTCACGTGTGATTGTAATGTTATAATATATATATATATATATATAAAAGAATAAAACATCAATATAAAGAAAATTAAATTTATTTTATGCCATTCAATTCCTGAATAACATATTTAAAAGTTCTCTTATGTGGCTTATATTTCTTCACGGCATATTTAACCAATTTTCCATGCCTATATATCTCCACGTTTTCCTTGCAAATTTTCTAATTTAATTAGGTCCACCGAATTTAGGGCTTCAGAAATCCACTCCAAGTATAATCACAGTTTTTTTTATAATGTATCTTTTAGTACAACCCCAGTATCTCTTCACGGCTCCCTTTCAACTAATACTTCTCTCATTCCTTTTGGTGCCCCATCTTCAGAGATCATAGGTTGTAATTTGTTGTCAGCCCAAAAGTTGTATTTCTCATGTTTTCCACCTGGACCTAAATTTATCCTATTAGCAATAAGAGCATTTCCTTTATAAGAGTCATGACTTCTAGAATTGTCAAATACAAAAGGAGCAGTGCAGTTTGGAAAAAGAGCTTCAAAATAGGAACTGCTTTCAATTCAATTTGATTTACTAAATTCTCATTTGTCCAATAACCCACTTGATTTTTATCTGGCTTCAAAAATTCTTTCGCTTCTTCAGGGACATATGGATTATCTTGAATCTGATCTTGGTTTAAACATAATCTTCTGTTAAAAATTCACTTATCATGATACTTCTACCATTATCTTTTTCTTTAATGTAGCTTGCCATTTTTTGCCTAAACTCCCCTTTTTCCATCATTAGAATAAAAAGATGCACTTACTAGAATTATTTCCCTCTCATCAGGACCAAGATTTGCTCTAAGGTTTCATCATCATATATTTTTCATAATTAACTACAAATTTCCTTCTATATTCAATGACATCTGGCTTTTCATGGACATCATAATATACACCCTAACAATTTTATTGAAAGGTATACATTAAGCCAGTGATGTGCCATTGGAAGAATTATATTTTCTTTTGTAGTAATTCCATTATTTATTAATAAATTTTTTAAACTTTAATGGTGTAGTACCTCCTTGACTTCTTATCCATTCATGATGCTTTCAGCAACATCTTCATCATCAATTTTTTAATGCTGCTTGAATGGGAGTGATTTATTTGACAATCAATATAAAGCCTTATACCTTATGTTCTAGCCTTACCTGGAACAGCAAAGCAGAATGGTTATGAATGTTTTGTCATAAGAAAGTTTGATATGCAACTGAGAAAATTGCTTTAAATTCATCTGTTGTTTTGTCAATTGTGTAATAATATTTATAATTTCTAGTTTCAATGGTGGATGGAGCCATTGGTTTGCTACGAATTTTAAAAAATTCAAGGTCTTGTACAAACCTATGAAATAAAAAAAAAGATTATTTTTAATACAATATTTAAATAAATAAATAAACAAATAATTTAATAAAATTATCTCTTAGAATTCAGAGTGATAAATTTAATTAATAGAGTAATATAAAGAACCTTTCATTTTTTAAGCATTTTTGATAATTTTTTATACATTTTGGATTATCAACAAATTGTGAAAAATGAAATAAAGTGATGAAAGTAAGGTTCTGGCCAAAAACAAAATTAAACCAGCTACTCCCTCTTGTTTTATGGGTAAAGGAGGAAGTCTTGGATCTACATCCAATTTATCATTTGAATTGTTAATAGAATTTAAGGAAAAGTGCCTTAACCATCTTCTCTTTATACTACCAGAAAAAGTAAATGCTTTCTTTATATTTGATATAAAACTTTGAATCTCATATTTTATCCAAGTTTCCCAATTAAATTATAAATATTACATAAACTGGAGATAGACAATCTTTATAAGCCCTCAACATATATGAAGCATTGTCACATAAACAATATGAAATGTTAAATGATGTAACAATGGTGATGACTAGTTGAGATATAGTATTTACTGTCCCATAATTTTTTTTTAAGATTAAACTACTTGATGCCAGATTCACAGAAATCCA